GTTTCAATCGCTTGGTAATTATAACAAGGCACAAGAATATCACGAGAAAGCACTGGCTATCAGTCTGGAAATTGGTGACAGAAAAGGAGAAGCAGCAGACTACGGAAACCTAGGAATAGTTTTTCAATCGCTTGGTAATTATGACAAGGCACAAGAATATCACGAGAAAGCACTTGCTATCAGTCTGGAAATTGGTGACAGAGAAGGAGAAGCGACGGATTACGGAAACCTAGGAACAGTGTTTCAATCGCTTGGTAATTATGACAAGGCACAAGAATATCACGAGAAAGCACTTGCTATCAGACTGGAAATTGGTGACAGAGAAGGAGAAGCGACGGATTACGGAAACCTAGGAATAGTGTTTCAACGGCTTGGTAATTACGAAAAGGCACAAGAATATTACGAGAAAGCACTTGCTATCAGACTGGAAATTGGTGATAAAAAAGGAGAAGCAACGGATTACGGAAACCTAGGAACAGTGTTCCAACAGCTTGGTAATTATGACAAGGCACAAGAATATCACGAGAAAGCACTTGCTATCAGTCTGGAAATTGGTGACAGAGAAGGAGAAGCAACGGATTACGGAAACCTAGGAACAGTGTTCCAACTGCTTGGTAATTATGACAAGGCACAAGAATATTACGAGAAAGCACTTGCTATCAGTCTGAAACTTCGCGACAGAAATGGAAAAGCTAATTGTTATAAAAACCTAGGGGCTTTGTTTCTGTCACTCGGAAAATACCCTAGAGCAGATAAATATCTAGTGCAAGCACTAGCAATAAAAAAGGAAATTGGCGATAAACGTGGAGAAGCAGCAGTTTGCGGTGATTTGGGGATAATTTCTAGTCGTCTTCATGATTACGAAAAAGCCCAAGATTATTACGAGAAAGCCCTTGCAATCTTTGAGGAAATTGACAACAGAGATGGAGAAGCAGTCGAGTACGCACATTTGGCGGCATGTTTCCAATCGCTTGGCATGTACAACGTGGCCGAAAAATACATCAAGAGGGCATTATTAATAAGCAAGAATACTGGACACAACTTGAATGAATTTAGGTGCCTCTGTCAACTTACAGTGTTGAAGCTATCACAATTTAATCGCAAAGAAGCCACATCATATCTTTTTCAATGTATTGGAAAATTCGACACGTTGCGAGGTTTCCTTAAAGATAACGATCACTTTAAGACTTCTCTTTTAGAGGAGCACGGCAATTTTCCATACAAGTTGCTCAGCAAGTTGCTTTCTTCTACTGGGAAGCCAAGAGATGCCCTTTATGTTGAGGAGCTGAGACGGGCAAGAGGCCTCGCCGACTTCATGGCAGCCAAGTACTCTGTTAAAGAGTTGATCTCTGGCAATCCACAGTCATGGCATGGCATTCAACATATCATCCCAAAAGAAACGGACTGTACATGTCTTTATATTTCAGTTGAAAAAGAACATGCACAGTACTGGATTCTCGAAGCATCAGGAGCCATTCATTTCTCACGAAAGAAAGTGAGTCTGGAGAAACGCGTGGTGACCAAATTAGTTCCTGATTTGGATGAGTTTTTCAAAGAGAGCTTTCGCAGCCTTGGCATTTTACCCCAACAGAATTGCGAAGATCGATCATTAGATGACACCCAGTCGATGGCACCTCACTATGACAATCGCGGGCTCGTGCGTGATTATGATCCAAAAGATTTCAAAACGAATCTTCAGTCGTGTTACGAGTTAATCATCGCTCCCATGGCCGATTTACTGAAAGAGCCTGAGATTTTAATAATCCCTGAATCCTGTATGTACCAAGTCCCATTTGCAGCCATCAGTGATGAAGGAGGACACTATTTAGCGGATACTTTCAGGATCCGTGTCGTTCCCTCTCTGACGACTCTAAAGCTAATTCAGGACAGTTCCCCAGACTATCACAGTTAGAGAGGGGCACTGATAGTGGGTGATCCTGAGGTTGGCGAGGTGCTTTTGAAAGGAAAACGCAGGATTATAACATCATTGCAATGTGCAAGAAAGGAAGCAGAGATGATTGGACGACTTCTTGGAGTGACACCTTTGACTGGAGACCGAGCAACAAAGGAGGCAGTTCTTGACGCAATAAATTCAGTAAGTCTGATTCACTTTGCTGCCCATGGTGATGCCGAAAGAGGAGAGATTGCTCTATCTCCTAATTGCCCCACCAACTTCATTCCACAAGACGAAAACTACCTTTTGACGATGGCGGACATTTCAAAACTTCGG